TGTAGGGAACAAAAAATCGGTGTTTTTTTCACTCGGACTTCTTTTAAAAAGTGATAAATTCAGTGCTACAAAAGTATATGAATAAAAAACCCCCACACCACCACAAATACCTGTTGCATTGCGTATTTTGGTTTGTATGTTTCTGAATAATTTATTTCTGGTTTTAAACAGAGAGTATGTGTTTTGAAGACTATCCATGAAATAGTTTTATTGCATATGCTGAATCTACAGAATTATGATCAAGTTAAGGCCTTTCAGTCTTGACTTCACATTTTGGTATCTTTGACAGGAAGAGTTGCTTGCCTTAGGCTGCATTTGTCCATAGTGGCAGGACAAGAGTCTGGACTGTTGGTATCAGGCAGTCTAGTATGGCTTACTCTGAAGTTGGATGATGCATAGGTCAGTGACAGGTTTGTGCCAAGGAGGCAGCATTGAAGGGTTCAAATGTGTTTATGTTTTGATGTGAGTTTTTTGTTACTGTTGTCTTGATTTAATGTTTGTACTTAATTTGCAGTGGTGTAACAGGTTGAAAAAAAGCACAACTCTTAAACTATGTAAGTCATAAACTAATTTACATAAGAATGGACCTCTATCACTCATCTAGCCCAACCCTTGTGTCTAACCCTCAGATTTGTGTGTGAATCAACAAGTCACCCCTCAATTATGTAAATAAGTGGTTTCGTGTTTTACTGTGTATGGTTCTGCAGACCTGCTGCAGAACACTTAAACGGGTCTGAAAGACCAGATTAGGAGCAATTTATTGGTTATATGAATTGATGATTCATTGCTGCTCAATTCTCACAAAAATGCCTCTGAAGCTTTTAGTAAACAAACACTGAAAAGGTAAGAAAAGAAGTTGTAAATGCCTATATTTAGAATGAGGGAAAACTCATTTTTAGTGACATACTGCTTTGTGATAATGAGTAAAATAAATTCTTCAATTTTAATACCAATAGTGTATTGGCTAAACATTGATTCTATTTCTTCAAAATCCTAGGTGCTATTTCTTAATATAAACCTGGCTAGTGGTGGTCAGATTGATGATTGAAAACAACCAAAGTAAATTTAACTCAAATGAGTTGGTCTCTCATTGAATTTAGAGAACAAAAAAAAATATTCTGTATAGAAATAACTATAAACTTTATTAGGAAAGGATCACTTTTATACTAGGTCAGTGCTTTGCAGTATCCAAGTGCGACATGTGCATCTCTTGAATAGGCCAGTAAAGCAGTGAGACCATGCTTATTGGCTACAGGAGGTATGAGCGGATACAGGCAAACAAAAGGAATTTCAGTTAATATCATGGGATATCAATCTTGCCCTACTATGGTCAGTAGGGATAAACGAAAGTATGGTCTAGTCTCCCAGGTGGTATGATAAAGCCACACCTAGCTGCAGAATTTGAGTTAAGGACAAAATGTCATTTCAGTGTTACTAAGCCTGAATTTATCTGATTTAACCAGGGAGGCCCATTTCTCTCAGGTGCCAGTGCACCAAATTCCTTACTTCAGGAAAATGGTACAAGAGCATGAATACTGGCTTATGCAGAGCTGTCTTTGCTCTTACTGACTTTACCCTTCATTCTGTTCCCATGGAAGTTGTAGAAGCAATAGTCTGCTTTGTACTGTCTGGGCCCAGTGGTGTTGTACTTGGTGATTCAGCCTGGGTATTTGGGTATCTTACCACTTTTTTTATGGTTAATCTGTAGCTCAGATAAACTCTTTGCGGGTAAGGGTATTGAATTTCCAAGACTTCATAGTGTTTGGAGGAAATCTTGGTAAAGAAAACCTGAAGTCTTCTGCAATTTATGTGAGGGTGAAGTTGCATGATAAAGGCTTGGTGACTGTAAAAATGCATCAACCTGGGCACTAATGGCTTTGTACCATATGCTGTGATTGCAAAGCTAGATTCAGAGTCCACTTTCAAGTTTTCTGTGAAGTTCATCTTGAATATCTGGTGTATGATCTCTAACTTTGCACCTACCAAACTGCATTTTGGAATAATAAGCCACAGCATAGAAGTGTGCAACTCATCCGTGGGAGACAGATGGTTGCCATATAAGCTGAGCTTGAAGATCTGCAGTTACCTAGGTTCATCCATGTTTTAATGAGGTGCAAGAAAGCAGAGTATTAAATGAACCTCTGAAAAGACCATGAGCATATGTGTTTTTCTGGTGTTGACAACATAGCTAAAAAGGTTATGGCTCTTAAACTAGCTTCTGGTGTTCCTTTCTATTCTCTCTCACTGTCTTTCCTGTTGAAGGTTGCTGCCCCCTTGGATCTGCTGTCTAAGCTACTGGCTTCTAACCCCATTGCAGTCAAAGTCACAAAGTTTCAAAATACTAAAGCTAACTTTGCACCTCTTCAGTGAAACAGTTCAAAGTGTAAGGGCAAAAACATCTCGGCCAGCAGTTCTAAAAGAAAAGAAATTGCTAGCACAATGTATGGTGAGTAGCTGAGGCAGAGCAGAAGTGATAATGTTTTCAGGTATTGCTACTGACATTGAAAGTAGATGTGAATCCATAGTGTTAAATTATGCCTGTGATTGTTTTGTACTTCCAGACCAGTTTAAAGTAGCTGAAGCACATCCTCAAATCTTCTTCATCTCCTTTAACTGTCTGGTTTAAAAGGGGGGGGTGGAGATGTTGCATATTTTGTTTGGTTTTGTTACTGATTCTTTTCCCCCAATTGTTGTAATAATAGGGATGTAGAAATTAATTTCAGAGTTACAGCTGTAGCTCCTAGGTATGTGTTCTACCTGGCGTTGGGGATAACTTGCAAAATTTTTGAAATTCCTGATTGAAAAGCCTGTTTGGCCTCTTTAATGTCATCCTGGCAGAAAAAGGTTTTGATAGTAGGCTACATATTAAAGGTTTATATTGATACTGAATTTCTTTCTGTCAGTATCTTTGTCAGTATCTTGAAAATGGCTTAGCTATTGATTTAAAACTAGAGATGAAGAGTGTACAGCAGAGCGGTAGGTAGAGCCGCTGCTTTAGCAGCGTATTGCTCAGATTTAGCTTCTTCCATTGCCAGAGAGGGGGAAAGGCCAGTATTTTCTTCCTCTAAAGGCCTTCAGTGGAAAAGTATTAACTCTTGGCATATTTGATACCGTATTATGGGGAATGGTCAGGAAGCCAAAGGGTAGGCCTAAACAGTAGATAAAGATGTTAACTGATTGGACAAATAGTCTGATGGTAACCTCAGGAAGTTTAATCAAGTCACATGCCTGGAACAGAGTAACCTTGTCCCTCAGTATAGGCTGGGTGATGGCTATCTAGGAATGAGCTTTGCAGAAGAAGAACCATGGGGTCCTGGTGGATAACCAGGACAAGTGAGTTGAACATTAGGGAGCAGTGTGCCTGTAGTGATGAAGGTTTGGGCCATGTTAGAAAAGGTTTATCTAGCACGCTGGGGGAAGTGATTATTTTCCTCTCTTTGGAACTGATGAGGCTGCATCTGGAAGTGTTGCCCTGCTCAGTTAAAGAAGGGTATAGACATAGTGGAGAAATTTGAGCAGAGGACCACTCTGTTACATAGGGGCTGGAGCATTTGATGTATGAGGAGAGGTGAGAGCTGAGTTCCTTCTGTCTGGAGGAGAAAAGACCAAGGAGTAGATCCAGTTGCTGTGTGTAATGGGAGGGTATAGAGAAGGAAGACCTATGCTCTTCCAAGAGATGTGTAATGAAAGATTAAGAGGCAAAGGACAAAGGACACTGATGGGAGTTCTGTTTTCATTATGAATGTGGTCAGATGTGAACTGGTTCCTCAGAGGCTGTGGAATCACCATCCTTGGAGATGTTCAAAACTTGACAAGGATCTGAACAGCCTGAGCTGTCTTTGGTGTTGGATAGCATATGGATTGAACTTCGAACAGAGGTTTGGACTAGACAAGCTCTAGAAGGCTCTTCCAACATGAATTGTTCCATGATTCTGTAACTTGTGAATTCTGACCTGATTTAAATGTTATCTAGGTGCTTGTGTCAAGATCGATTTGTATCTAACCTAATGTGCTTAAAATAGGAGATAGAAGCACCAGGTTTGACCTAGGATAGGCTTTGCCTTCTGTAGGATTTTTGCAGGTCAGTTTGGCTGAGTCCCGTTTTTAGGTGCCCAAGTCTGTTTACTGATCTAGCCTGAGATGTTTGTTAGAAGAGGGGGCAAAAACTAGATATGAATAACAAAATACTGTTTTTCCAGTGGAACTGTTTTCTCTTTGTAACCTTTCATTTTAAAGAAAACAAGTAGTGTTTTGTTGTGTTGTGTTTCGTTTGTTGTTTTGTTGGGGTTTTTTGTGTTTAAAAAAACCCAAACTTTAAAATTTAACAAACTTAATTAAAATATCTTTAATTTACTTAACTGATTTGTACATGAATACACAGCTGAGTTTACTGCTAGAGATAGCTGGGTCTGTTGGCACTGTAGATGTGTAGTTCAAATTACATTTGTGCATAACACTTGATAGGAATATAGTATACTCACCTGTATGCCATTTAATTTGTTTTTCTGTAACTTGCTAGTATTTTTCAAATGCTGTAAGTTTTTACTGTTGATAACTTAATTTTTGGCAGAACAGGCGTTCATCCATTTTGTCTTTGTGCCTTACTATCACTGATAATTTTGATTTAAAACCTGAGTTTCAATGGGTTAGTAAAATAACTGTTTCTTTCTTCCATGCTCACTGAAATGGCTTGACTTTTTCAGCTGATCTTCAAACCACTTCCTACCTTATATAGTCTACATAATATAGACAGTGATAGAAAGATGTCATCTTCTATGCGTTTGCTGTCCTCTACAGGACCAGCCACAAGTTGATTCCTTACTGTTTTCTTACTGAGTGCAAGTCAATCTCTGCATCCTTTGTTAAAGATTGGTAATATTTAGAATATCAGGAATATAGGCTTGAATAATATAATCTTTCTTGTCAGTTTCTCACTCCTGTAAGAAGTGAAGCTACTTATGAAATAGGTAAAGCTAAGATAGGGAACCTGTACTTTTGGTGTTTTGGTTTTTTTTAAAGAGTAGTTGTTGTTTTATATATGTAAAACACAACATTCAATACTGAGCTCACAGGCTTTTGCAATTAGATAGGTTTTGATCATTTCCCTTACTCAGTCACATGGTTTCTTCCACACTTTTGATTTTTAGAACATAAGGTCATACTTAACTCAGTTAAAGGAATCTCATACAAGGTCTGAAGTGTTGGAGGACTTCTGTCAATTTGGCAGCATTTCAGTCCTGTATTTGATTTTACTGATAAGAATGTTTTTGTGTGTCTTTAAAATAAGTTTGCATTGTGTGTAAGTTGTGAATGAGTCGTCATCAACTATTAAAATCCTTTCACAAAATTTTACTGATGTTAGTTGAGCTATTGAACTGTGTGGAACTTGTTCAGCTCTTAACTGAGAAGAACATCAGTTGCTGAGAGCACTTGTTTGTGTTGGTGTGTAGCACTGCTTTGCTTTTATGACACAGTTTGACACAGGTTCTTTTTTGTTTTTTCAAAGCAAAATCGGATCTTTGAAGAGAGAGTTGTGAAAAGCATTGTGGCTGTGTGTCTCACTAATTAATACCTCATTTCTGTTACTATGTGTTGCTTCCACTGATTTACAATGTTGCAAATATTATTTTCAAATAAAGAAGAAAAAATGATGATGCAAATAATTGTGAGCATAATGTAACTTATTACTTTCACTTGCAAATTACATACAGTGTGAAGCTTACAATGCATAACATAAGGTTGTATAGTCATTTTATCTTCATCTTTGCTATCTCAGGTAATATAATTAGAGGCCAGTAGGTGGTGACTACAGAGATAAAGAATAAAGATAATATTTGTGGTTTCTTGTGCGTGGAATTCTTTAGGTAATATAAAATTGAACTGATTGGGAAAGTGGGGGAAGTTCAGGCTGGATAGTTTGTGTTTGAAAGGGCTTCATGACTTTTCAAATTGTTAAAAGTACGGAAAGTATTTTGACAGTGCTAGATATGAGTTTGAAGTAATTCTGTCACTTTTTTGTATTAGATGTGCTGTTATCTGTGAAATTGGTACTTCTGGTTTTGCTTTATAAAATCCAATTTGAGGATTTTGTTTATACAAAGTAAAGTCAAATTGGCAACAACTTTTGAGCATGTTTTCTTAATTTGGCTTTACTTTAGATTCTGCAGCTGAGGATGTGCACCTTGTACATGGAATGCCCGATGTGGAGAGCATAAAAGACTCGGGATACTTCCTTTGCTGTCACACAGTTTTTTGGGGTTTTTTTGGGTTTTTTTTTTTGTTTTTTTTATGGCTACTTAAGACAATTTACTAAGTACAAGACGTGTTACAACATCAGACTTCTTGATAGCAGAAGATTGGTACATAGAGAAAACTTAACTGTTACACAGGTGTAAAGTTTCCTAATAATAAATGAGAAATGATCGAACATCAGAGTAATATTTCATAGTCAAACTAAAAGGGGTAATGTTAGCATTTATACAGTCCATGCAAAACCCCCATTTCTAGCTGACTATTTAAGAAATCGTCTTCTCTAGCAAATCTTTCTAAACCTGGAGTTTCATTAGTGTTTTACTCCATGTCAGAACAGATAATTTGAAGACTTGTAATTAGAACATAGCATAGTACTTGAACGTAAGAGCTATTTAAATTCTGGCATTTCTCAGGTGATTTGACTTAACCAGATGCTTTCTCTCTACTTTTTTATTTAAAGAAAAAGTACGTCAAGTTACACGATATTCAGTTTCTTACAGAATCGCATTGCTCCTTTTGGATAACGCACCTGAATTAAAGGCCTTTAAAGGGCCTGAATTAAGACAGACAGTAAAACTAGACTAAAAAGTAAACCAGATAGACTTGCTGCAGTATTTGGGGAAGTTTGTCTAAATTTGTATTAAAGTAAGAGTGGGAAATACATTTCAAAAGAGGCATAACTGGTGAGCAAACTGTTGGGGTCTGTGGAATGTTGGAGATCGTTGTCACTTCATAGAGGTCACTGTAGCAGAGAGGTAGCGTGAAGTTTGGATTATCCGGAGGAAGGTTTACCCTAAAGTTTACCTTAAAAAGGGAGGTGGGGTGCAGAATCTATTTGTAATCTTTTCTTCATTGCATTGTACTAAACTATTTATCTCTCCTGTCAGAGTAAAATGTGTGTGCTGAAAATGTGTTTAGATGAGGAGAATGGCAGATGTAGGGATTTCTTAACCTCTTTTTCTGAGCTGGTAACAAACTCCTGAACCGGAACTAGATTATAATGACTCTGCAGGCTTGGTGGGTAAGAGTGTGTCATTGAGACGTAGTGACTGACTGCTCAGGATCATTCATGGCAGAATTCTCTCAAATTCTTTTTGGATGAAGGTTGCTGTAATTTTCACATCCAGTAATTAAGTTTTTCATGGGGCAGTCATTTTTTAGCATGATTAGAGGTTGTGGTGTCCGAGTTTCTGAAGTCTCAGAAAAGTACTATGGGATCTGTGGATTAAAGAATGTATTCTCTGCTGACTTCATAAAGCGCAAGGTAGACTAGTACAGGAGAAGAAGTCAGAAGTCCTCTAAAGCTTCAACATAGATTACTCATATTTTACCTGCAAACTTGCTCTCTGGAGATTCTTCTTTCTCATATATATTGAAGTAGGTCTCCACATATTGAAGAACTTCTAACTTTCTGTGGATTATTTTTTTTCCCTTAGCTCATATCTTTTGTAACTAGATACATTTTAAAATCAAGATCAATGCATCTTTGAACTTAAAATCACATATAAAGACATGAATGTCTTTTAGGTGTGGTAAAAATGGAAAAGCTGTTTTACAAAGGATTAAATAAAATTTATTAAGAGAATCCTGTGAGACGTTTTCTTGGATCAAAGTGGGATTTGCCTCCTTGTTCCTTTGGCCTTCGTTCTCCTGTTGTCACTTTTGCCATGCTTTACAAGAATACAGAAGTAGCATAGTACATGTAAAGCTAGTGAGACCAGTCAGTTCTTACTATTTATGAAGTATTAGTTTTTCTTCATGCCACAATAAAACTGGAAAGAGAATAGGAGTCATATGGTTGTTATTTTTCCAGCATGAATTAGTTTCTGCAGAGAATGACAAAATTGGCAGGGCTGCAAAGGTATGTGAACTACTCTGCCTTCATATGCAGAGCCTTTAATTTTGATGAAGTAGCTCTTTAAAAGACACAACACCCCACCAAAAAACCTACCAAAAATGCAGGCCTGGGTTTGTAAGTTCACACTTCATTAATTGCATTTATTAATTATTTTTTTCCCCGTTATAGTTATTGTTCTGCACATGTGCATGCTTTATCACTTGTTTTATAAAGAAGAAACACAGGAAAGGGAGAACAAAGCTTGTATGAAGTGGTGGTTTTATAAATAAGACTTTTCTTCTTGTTTTCCAGATTCAATATTGCATAAACATGGGTGCATTTTTGGATAAACCAAAAACTGAAAAACATAATGCTCATGGTGCAGGGAATGGCTTGCGTTATGGCCTCAGCAGTATGCAGGGATGGAGAGTGGAAATGGAAGATGCTCACACAGCTGTTGTAGGTATTCCCCATGGCTTAGAGGACTGGTCCTTTTTTGCTGTCTATGATGGTCACGCGGGATCTCGTGTTGCAAATTATTGCTCCACGCACTTATTAGAACACATCACTAACAATGAAGACTTTAGGGCGACAGAAAAACCTGGATCTGCTCTTGAACCTTCAGTGGAAAATGTCAAGAGTGGGATCAGAACTGGCTTTTTGAAAATTGATGAGTATATGCGCAATTTCTCAGACCTCAGAAATGGGATGGACAGAAGTGGCTCAACTGCACTGGGAGTTATGATTTCACCTGAGCATGTATACTTTATCAATTGTGGTGATTCACGTGCTGTTCTCTATAGGAATGGACAAGTCTGTTTTTCAACACAGGATCACAAACCTTGCAACCCAAGGGAGAAAGAGCGAATCCAGAACGCAGGAGGCAGTGTAATGATTCAGCGTGTTAATGGCTCATTGGCAGTTTCTCGAGCACTGGGGGACTATGACTACAAATGTGTTGACGGTAAAGGCCCTACAGAACAACTTGTTTCTCCAGAGCCTGAGGTTTGTGAAATTTTAAGGGCAGAAGAAGATGAGTTTATCATCTTGGCTTGTGATGGAATCTGGGATGTAATGAGCAATGAAGAGCTCTGTGAATTTGTTAAGTCTAGACTTGAAGTTTCAGATGACCTGGAAAAAGTGTGCAATTGGGTAGTGGACACTTGTTTACATAAGGTATGTAACTGTTTTCTCCAAGCAGCTGTTCTAAAATTATCTTCTGTTTAGATGGGTACAGTGTTAACAGCAGTTCCTGGCCTACTCTTCCCCTTTTCTCTCTTCCTTCCCTCAAATGTCAGTACCTGTTTGACTGTATATCCTTACTGAAGAATATACAGCCTTATCCTTTGTGCCTGGAGAGGTAATACCAATTGCAAAAATAAAGGTTTATTTTCTCAAATAACACTTGTATATAGTTCCAGCCCTAAACTTTGTTCCAAATACAAAATTTTAAAAATTAATCTGTGCAAGTTTTGTTTGGTTTTTTTAAATTTTGTTGTTGTTCAGTCGAGCTGGGAAGTGTTTCTGTGCTTTGCTTAAAACCAGTGTTTGCACCATCTCCTCTTCAAGGTATGGTTTGTCTGTTATCTGAAGTGGTGTCTTCAGCTCATTGTTGTAGCTTAGATGGAGAAGCACTACTTTTGCATCTGAGCTTGCTTGCGTTCCTCAAATTTAGAGTTTGTTCAGAACAACTACAAGTCAGTCTACAAATGTTTCATAGGAATAGTATTTCCAGCATTCCCTGAAAAGTGCATCTCCTACTGGTGCAAATAGAGTTCCTTTGTTAGGCCACAGGCTAAACATGCAGTTTTGTGGAAAATACTAAAATTCAGAATTCTAACACTAAAGGGTAAGTAAATTTTTTTCAGAAATAGGATTGTATTCCAACATACAACATACACTATATGATTGTTTTAAATGCCATGGCCTTTCTGACCAGGCACTTGACCAGCCTTGTTAAAGGATGGTCACTCCAGTATCCTTTCAGTAAAACTGAGCCCTGACCTCGTGTTTATTTTACAAAGTCCTGGATCTCTGCAGTTTGTAACAATATTAGAATTATCCTCTGTCTTCAGGATGTGAATTGTACCACGTGGTATTAATTGCTCTAAGAGATAACTGGCCCACTATGCTTGATACGAAAGGGAATGTAGAATAACTCTGGAGTACTTCTGAAGGAATTTATTCTAATGTCAGGTTTCTGCTTAATATCTTCAGGAGGAGTTGTGATAGATGAGAGGAACTACTTGGTAGGTTAGCTATATACAGAAACAATATGCAGTGACTAATGGCACTGAAATTTTTTTAATAGAAATTTAAGATTTCAAACTAGGACTTTAAATTATGATTCTACTGGCTCTCCTTGTAAGAGACTTAGACACTGTGGTTTTCAATTTGGTGGTGGGTTATAATTTTGAAAATTAAATATGAGCAGGAAAGTGGTATCAAAGCTTCCTAGTGACAAACTGACATTAAAGTCAGTATCTGAAAAAGCCATTGGCTGATGTTGCTGGGCATGTGAAGTCTGTAAGGTCAGCTTGGCCATACTAAATGAATTTCTATTTTGTACTTATTTTCTTCAAGTTGCCGTGTATGACAGAGGTCCATTCCGATAAACATATCTGTAGTTAATGTAATGTCTTACTCGAATGCTCTCAAGCTCAAATTAGTGGCTGGAGCTAGCTATTCTAGTAGTCTAGGATAAATGTTCCTCATTTCATTTTGCAACATGAGTTGTTTTTTAACTTGGCTTAAGGTGACATTAGATGACTAATTTCTGACGTGTTTTCTTGATGTTATTTTAAAGTGGTTGACATGTAAATAAGGCTATTAAATATTTTAAACTTTAAGACTAAGAATGTTCAATAAAAATAAGTAAAATTCAAGCAAGTAGATTAGTTGGGAAAATTAAAGGTTTTTATTAATCAAAATACAGTTTTATTGTAAGCTATCTTTTTTTCCCAGGTGTATATTTAGTACTGTATTTGGAACAAGTAATAATGTGACTAGAAGAGAAAAATGAAAAATAAGACTAAAGATCCTAACTCTTCTTTTTTTCTTTGTAGGGGAGTCGTGATAACATGAGTATTGTACTAGTTTGTTTTTCAAATGCTCCTAAGGTCTCAGAGGAGGCAGTGAAAAAAGATGCGGAGTTGGATAAGTACTTGGAATCACGGGTTGAAGGTAAGAAATCAAGTTTTGTTCATTAGAAAAGCTATCATAACCTCTTGAGGATGAAAACAAAAACCCTGAAAACCGTGATGCCAGTATACATTGTGTCAACTTCAGGCCTGGTTACAGCTCTGGATTTTTGTGTGTCAGGAACGATGTTTTAAGCCATTTTGTTAGTTTATCCTGGTATTCCACAAGCGTTTTCTAATGGGAGCTTTAGGTTTTCACTTCTATCTTTACAGGTCAAAATGCAGCCACTGACCTTGCAGAGTGTTATATCGGCTGAGTAAATTGTGATATCATTAATGTCTTGCTTATAACATGCCATCAAAAGGGATACTTGCTCCCATTTTTTGTGAAAGTTTTTGACAAAAACAAAAAGTTCTGTCAGGTTTTCATGAAGGGACAGCTTACTCATCTAGTATCCAAGCTTTTTTAACTGCTCTGTTTAACACAGCTGTGAGTTTTTTGCATAGACAATTTTTAAATGCACTTTTCTGAAAAATTAAGAGATTATAAATTATCAAAATACCTATGAATACAAGAGTCTTAAATCACCTCTTTGGATTCTGAATGCTTACCCAAGTGTCTGTGTATGTGTGGATAAAAAAAACATGTAATCATCGAGAACTTTCATGGAGGACTAAACTTAATTCCTAACCAGTTTCATTTAGTCACTGATTTTGTAGTTCTCTTTACTTATCCAAAAGGCTGAATTCATCTTCTTTCCTTAAGCAGAAACAGTGAAAGTTAGCTTGACTAAGAATGAAAGACTTGCCCTCGTGTATTTATTGCTTTTCTGCTGCATTCTTGTTGTTGGCATAACTGGCATTTGAAACAGGCTTTCAAACTGTTGCTCCTAATTTAAAATCTCTTATCACTGGTTAAGGCTGTTCTAAGGTCTGATGTCAGCTGTATGTAGTGGCCTCCTGATCTCTTCAGTCTTCTCTATTCTAGTGATTCAGGTGCAGCTCAGTTTTGGTGGACTTGACTGAAGTTCAGGGCTGATATTGAAAGTTTCCCTTTTTTATAATACTGTTCTTATGTTGGCACACAACCCAGGCATGAAAATAACTGAGTTACTGGAACAGTTTGTCATGCTGTTACAAATGTTCCTAGGATAATACTATGAAGTAGCATCAATGGAGAGAAACAGTCAACAGAGGTTTTGAAAGCATTGCTGTTATGATTCTTTAAGCTTCTGTAATTTTATCAGAAGAGTATGGGAGCACTGGCACCCACTTATGGTGATACAGCTTATTAACCCATTTGTTGGAGCTACCAGTTATAGCAACAGTATTCAAGGAAGGAAAGGGTTTACTGAAGAAAAAGCTGGCTGAGATAACTTGTCCCCTTTCGTGTCCTGTTTCAGGCCTGGACTAGAATATTCTGATCACTAAATCCAGGTTAACTGTACTGCATGAAGAGGTGGTCCCTTTGCAGATGAATAAAGAGTTGTGTAGCCTTCTTAGATGTATTTGTTTCAGGGGCCAAGACCAGTGGTTTAGCTTTGTATTATAGTATTGCTGTCCTGACAGTACTCTTCTGTGTTCACATTGAAAAATGTGATATTGCCAGTCTGTGAGACTGTTCAGCAGAGTTCCATGAAAATAATTTTAGATTTGGGTGCCAAGATGTTTGGGACTTTGCAGATCAGAACCAGCATGAAACCTCCGTCTTGAGACTGTAACAAGGTCCAGTGACATTAACCACGGCTCTGGCCACTGACTGCCTGAGCTTGAGCATTTTTTTATGAAAGAAGATGTGACTGACCAAATTTTCTCAACACAGATCTGGAAACTTTCCAGGCCCAAGCATGGTGTATATGATCTGTAGAGGTGAAATACTTAATTTCCCTTCCTGTGACTATTGCTGGTAATTACTAATACAGCACTACCACACAGGAGAGAGATGCCACTTCTATTTTTCTTGTTTGTTTTGGCTTAGATCTGAGACACCCTCTGGCTTTTTAACATGCTGTTATGAATACTGAAAGAACTGACTGGATGCACTCTTATTAGGAAGTTGTTCGTGTACCAATAAGTAGCATTGGGTATAAATGAGAAGTAATCTGTAGATCTGAGGAGATGAGGAGTCTCTGAGAGTGTACAACAGCACAAATCCCAGAGTTAACCATTCATAACTTTTCTTAATGCTAATTCAGTGTAAAGTGCAACTGTGAGATGGAAATTTACATGCTGCCACTGTAGCCTGGTTGCTCTGGGCAACTGTTAGTTTTGCCACTTCAGTATCAAAAATTCTCAAACTTATTTTAATGCTAGAAATGACACTGTAGATATTTTATTTAATTTTTCATTTGTGTGAAACAGCTGTGAAAATCACTCATGTTTGTTTTGAGATACCTTTTTTATTGCACTCTTACTTAGGCAAAGGAGGTGAACTAGATTTTTTTTTTTTTTTTTTTTTTTTGCATTAGTGTCCCAGTAATCTGGATAGTTGATGTAACAACCTTAATTTTTAAATATATATCTATAAGAAAGCCTTCAGGCCACGACGCACCATAGAAGTTATCTCTGAACGTGCTGGCATTGTGCGTTGTATCTTCCACTCTTGTTTAAATGGGATCTAAATTGAGATGGCTTGCATGTTTGTAGTTTCTGTTGAGATTAGAGAGAGCTAATGGTCACTTCAAATGCTAACTCTAGGCATGTGTCTCAGAACTTGGCTTATATCCCAGGCTTCCTAGATGACACTAGTTAAGACTAGAACCTATTATCTTCCTATGTCTGTGTAGAGTACGTGAGCTGTTAATAGGCTCTGGGAGAGGGCCAGGAGCAGTTACCTTCACTGACAGCAATCAGGTGTGCACACAGTGGTTACTGGTTAGTATTCCCAGCTTCTTGGTGGCTCCTCTCTCAATTGGCAAATAGGTGAAAAATGTATGGAACTACAGTGTATTTTTATTGCTCTCATAAGTGAATGTTAAAAAGATTAATAGAAAAGCTGTCAGATAACTTCTGATCAGAGTGACTGGATTAACTGAGAATGACATAGGAAGCACTATTTGCTAGTAACAATGGAGGGTTGTAACATAATTGAGTTGCCACTTCAATGTATCGAAATAACTTCTTAGCAGAAATGTATTTTAGCTATATTGTCATTTTTAACAAGTACTCTGCACAAAACCAGTGAAGAGTTTATAGTCTGAACTAATACACTTGAAATGGCTCTGCAACTCAAAAGATTAAGCTTAAGTGCTCCAGAGAAATTAGTTGCTTCAAAGCTTGGACTTCTGTTGTTTCAGCTCCTCTTGATTTTTTTATTTTTTTTTTCCCCTGCATGAGTTTCCTGTGTCATTCTGTGGTCTGCTAATTGGACAGAGTGCAAGGCCTTTAAATGTCAAGTATTTAGCAAGGAATGAGAGTTAGCATATTTGAGGAAATTTTATCAAGAAGTGGAGAAAATAAAGGAAACAGTTCAGAAGAACTTGAAATATTTACCTATTTTCTAACAAATTTTTGTGTTCATAATAAATCCTATTAAATTGTCATTTTGATACAGTCTCTTTAATTAAAAAAAAAGTTGCTGGACTGCAATTTTTACCTTGCATTTGTGCCTTAAGTGTTACGAGTTCAGAAATGATAGAGAAGCGTGAACAAAATGTTTCAAACCACTAAACAGCATGGAGAGAATTGTTTGGAAAAATGTTGGGTTCTTTTAAGAAAAGTAGTCCAATTTGAAGGTTTAAGCAGAAATACTTTTAACTTTTTTTTTAAAAAAAAGGGGGGGGTGGGGGAGTATGATCTCAAGTGTTGGAGTAGTAAGGAAAAGTTTTGGAAGGTGGGAACATCTTTTTGATCAGGAAAGAACAACTGCCATAATCAGTTTTGTGTTTATCCTTAGTGTAGTCTGCAAAACAGTGCATAAGAGAGCTGTGCCTGAAAGGTTTAAACTGCCTTTAATTCTAAAAACTTAAGGCCTGGTAGATAAGTTGTGGTGTTGATAATATGGATTTGGTAATCTCTTCTAGTTATTATCAAAAGACATAGTTGTATTCCTTTAGATATATTCTAAATATAGTTTACAGCTTTGAATAGTCTTCTTCAGGGAAGTGTATTTGTTATAATTTATTTGTAGTTCTGATGTGTTTTGAGGCTCTGAGCATGGTAAACCAGGCAGCGAAGTCCAAGCAAGAATCTATGTTCAGTTACAGCAAGGGATTGTCTATAGGGAGCACCTGTAGTAGATTTTACTAATGTTTAAAATACCAGACCAGATAGTGACTGTTTCTTTCAAAAGGCAAATAATGGACTTCGTTCATGTTTAATTATTTTGTGCAACAATGTTTCTTTCTCTGTTAAAGAATTAACAGCTCACAAGTTATGTGCATTTGGTTGATAGCAAATAACAATTTTGTTTATACCTGTAGTAAATACATTCTGAAAAAAAATCAGCTTGTCTTGGAACTACTAAGCTGCAAAGATGGAGAAGTTGTCAAAAATACAAGCTACGAGTGCTCTTAGATACTCTCCTGTTCCAGCAAGTGACTAATTTAAATCAGGGCAACATTAGCACTTAGTATAAAATCCTCTGGGACTTCCTGAAGATATTTAAGTTTGATCAATGGCATTTGTTCTTAATGATTGTACACTCTTCAATATGGAATATTTTTCTGTTCTCTTGTGGACCTTAAATTTCAAGCTGACTGGCCTAATGCATCAAACCTTTTAGACAATGGGTTTTTTCACTGCTATGCTCGGGCATTTTAAGTTTTGACTTGGAGAGAAAGGTGGTGTTTGAAGCATGCTTTTGTTTGGTTTTTAATTTAAAAAAGCCTGTGTTCAAAAGCAGTTTAGTACTTTTATATGACATTTGTAGTCTGTCTTTGTACATTGCTAAGTAGAATGCTGAGATCCTGTGTATTTGTACAATGCATTCAGTTAGTAGTTCCATGTTTCCTGAATTATTAAAACAACACAGTTACTGTTTTAATACCAAAACAGAGTTTTTTTATTTGAACAATTATTAAAAAAACAAACTCAGCAAGTGATTAGTTTACAGAGATTTCTAGTGGAGCAACTGCATACCAAAGCTCTTCTGCTAGTTTGGGTCTTGAGGTTGACAGAACATGTATAACTGTATTCCAAAGCTGCCCATTCAAGAGCATGCTGAAATACTTACAAGTATTAGAGTTAGAGTCGACAGCTTGTGATTGAGTCATTTATGATGGTGAGCACAGCTGTGCTTCTGTTTTGAGTCACTTAATTGGTTAATTTCCAGAGTGATGCAGATGTGTTGGGCAGTAGTTGAGTTATGCTAGGTCAGTCTTTTCTTGCAGGTGCTCTCAAATGCTACTCTTGTTCTCTGTTTTTCTTGGGGGTTTTTTTTAGAGATCTGAAGTTTGATCACAGGAAGAGAAAACTAGGCACAGAAGTCAGTTCAGTTCTCTGATATGTTTCGGTTTATTTTAAAGGGTTTATCAGACATGCAGATTTTAAACAATCAGACAACCCCAAGTCATAAATAGGGGCACATGTTCTATGCAGACTTAAATAGTAATTGAATACTCAGTTAGTACAGTAAGTTGGATAGTGCATTTTACATATGTGGAATATATACTGTATATAAAACTGTTTTGTCATAATCTAATAGCTGGAGATCAGAGGAGATGCTGGAACACAGAAAACTTGAAATGCTGTCTGGTTGGGGACTTGCATTATATAAATTTGAAATAAAATTTTGTCTGAATTTTCAAAACGCCTATCTCTGAGTTAAATGTTAGGCTTTTGGTGAAAAGTATTTTAGGACTAAAATAGTGGACTTGATAGTAGAGTTTCATGGATTTGCATATGTGATAATATCAGGAAATGATTCTTCAAAGTGTCTGAATTACATTAGCAATGCAGGTGTCAGTTTCTGCAATTGTGTTCTGCACATTCAGGAAAAAAATTAATTGTAAGGTTATGCTTAACATTTTAGAGATGAAAATTGTAGAGATTTACAAGGTGAAAACCTTGTGCAAATCTTTACAATTTTTATAGGCATTTACAAGGTAAAAACCTCGTAAATGCCTATAAATCTGTTTCTGAAAACATTTGTTTTTTTTCTCTAGTAGCCTTTGTCAGAAAAATCCATAGTGTGTGTCTGCTAACTGATGTGTAATGAAAAAAGGTCATGTGTGGTCATTTGCTTTATTCTCGGATTTTCTATTAGTAAGTTGAGGTTGGTTTGGTTTTTTTTTGAGAGAAGTGAAATGTTCTGGATGAAATTATTCACCCTAATATCAGGAAGAGAAAAAGGAGATGATCTGTTCCACCAGAATTCCTGATTTAGCACCTTCTAGAAATGTAGTGAAGGTGTTCATGGTTCGATTCAGCAATCCCTGAAAAGTGGTTGCACAGTAATAAAGTACAAGCTTCCAGTGCCAAGAAATATGCAGCAGTTCTTAATTGTGATTGCTATAATTCATTTTTAAGAAGATGTAAAAATCTTGTGCTTGCAGTAGTATTTAAAATTTCTTACTTCTGTACCCTTTCTTCTTATTTTTTGCTATTTGTCTGCTTTTACTATGTGTAGAACCAGATGTGCTCTTGGTATAAAAAGCAGTATATGCATAAGACACATGCATTTCCTATCAGATGTGACTGAGCAAAATTGTATTATAGTGGTGTATAATCTACTGACTGGGTATAACTGCACAAAAACAGAACCCGTGGCTGATTTGTGTGAATGTGTATGGCAGTGATCAAAGTCCTACCATTCAGGTATACATACATATTCAGCTGTCATTTCCTTTGCTAGCCATGATTCATTCTTAATGGATGAGTGCAGGATAATATACAGAAAGCTTCATGCAAGAATGTTTAATCACTTCTAGTAGTGGTATACCCAGCTTATTCTTTGAAGAGATTGTATGGTGCTGACTTAAAATTGGGGCTTAGAAGCATATTTGTTCGTATCCTTATTTGTTACAGGATATTAAAACTATTCTAAAAGTAGAATTGCTTTTAGGGGGCTTTCCTACAGATCTCCCTGATACAGAGTAAGCAAGTACCTTGCAAGCACTTTATTGTTCTTACTGATCCAGAGGGAAGCATATCACTTGCTTTCTAGATAGGTGATAGACATCAGGAGAGGTTTAAACACCAGGAAACTTGGGATGCAGTGTTTAAAGAAGGTAGATGATGTGCTTTTCTAGTAACTTCAGAAACTGCAGCTGCTTCCGGCTTTAGTTGCAGGCTCCAAATCAGGCATCCTGAATATAAACAATTGATTGTAAGAAATTTAACTTACTTGTTTATCTTTAGATAGTAGCCAAGATACAGACTGACTGAAGATGGTTTTTAGGATGATATTTGAGAGGATTCATTCTTAATTATTTTGTTTTCTGGCTCAAACAAAGAATTTTTACCTAGAACAATGTCTACAGGAAATGGCACTCCATTCTTTAATTTAGCTGACTTTCAGGAAAAAAAAAATCTTTCTTAATGTGACACATGCATACAACTACAATTTGTAGATAACTTAATGAACTTTTTTCTGATGTGGTAGTAGTTGAATGACTGGAAGCTGATAACTGGAACCTCACACGTGCTTGTGTGAATGTACATGCAGCTATTACATGTTCATCTTGTGTGTGATGCTTCTGCTTTGAAAATGGAATTATGAATTACTTGTTGTCAGTTCCATATTCTGTTTTGGCCACTTGAGTGATAATAGGCCATTGTATATTCCTCTTTATTGCATGATGGTCTCGGTGTTTATGCACTGGAGATTCAGGACTTTGAGAATACAAGGTGTTACTCACAATGAAGTTTGACTGAATTCCTGGGAAGCATTGGCTTTATGGCATGTAACTTCTGAGTATGTGTTGCAATGCAACAGAAAAGTAACTGAAACAGCCTCCTAGCTTTCTGGAAGAGAATAGGCTGCTGTCTCCAGGATATTTCATCCAATTCACAGTTTACTTCCAAGTTTCTCCAAGAGAGAGAATGACTAAAAGCATACTGTATAGGCAGGCCATGGATTTGAAGAGCTCTGTTCCACCATGCAAACACTATTTACCTAAAATGTGAAGAAAGTTTTCCTGTTTACATGTAACTTTTTCATAATGTCTCTGTTAAAAAATGATAGTATATTATATTTTAGTGTCTTAAGGAATGGGTGGTATTAATTCAGTAATCTAAGGGCTTCTTCTTTTTTTAATTAGAAATTATGGAAAAATCGGGTGAAGAAGGAATGCCTGATCTTGCTCATGTTATTCGTATTTTAACTGCGGAGAATATCCCTAATTTACCACCAGGAGGTGGTTTAGCCGGCAAGTGAGTACAGTACCAGAATTTCTTGAACTGTTTAGTTCACTGAAACAAATACTTTTATTTAAATGTTTTAAAGCTTTCTTATTGCAATGGCTATACTCAAATTAAAGAAAAAAGGGTGGGTTTTTTTTCTATTTTAAGCTAGTTTACCTTCTGCACTGTGTAAACGTTTGTGTCATTGTTCCTATTCTGGAATGGTAAAAGGAAACAGATTGATCATTTTCTGGCACATAACATACTAGTTTAGTTTACTATTTCTATATGGCCATTTTAAAAAGTAAAGGATACTTATTCTTGGCTTTTTACTGCTTTATATTTGTTAAGAACTATTAATAATGTAACCAAAATATCAAAATACCAGCTCAGTTTTCCTGATGTCGTGTTCCCTCCACCACTAGTGTACATTATAAGTTTGGGTCAATGATTGTTTGCTCAGTAAACATGCTCATAAGAAAATTGTTTCTTTCTAAACTGAATGTTAGATAAGCAAGAATATTAAACTAGGTTATGCATTTTAAAACTTAATTGTAATGAACATTCAGAAATTACATTGGTTTTCTGCAGAGTCTAATGGTGATGTTCTAACAACCTATAATTTAAGGATTTTGGTCAACAGAATTAGGATTGTTAATCTAGAATTCCCCAAACAGGGAGACCTATTGTTGCTCCCTGGCATGGGTCACGTGGCTTCTACAGTCTTTGTATTTTTCAAAATGTGAAGTCCTGTCCTCTGAGCATTTGTGTATACGTCTGTTTTCACTGCCTGTACTTACTAATGAGCTCTATTTGCCATGACTTTTTTCTAGCCTTAAAAGTACTTGTACATTCTGGGCCTTTTTCTCCACTTGTGAGCATTCCAGGCATTCAGAGAAGCTGTGGTGTGCCTGTTCTTAGTGCCTTCCCAGCTGCTGAATGAGTTGGTGTGTTTCGTTGTTTTGCAAATTAGTAACTGCATCATTTATTGTTTCAATATTTTGGAACCTTTGCACAGAAATTATTTTTTAATTTGTTGTGACCCAGGTTAGGTGCCTTTTGATGCCTTTCTCTCTATTTTGACTTTTAAAGTCCTGCTTTACAGAAAACTGACTTCAGGAGGTGTACCTGCAGCTTCTTTTAAGAGAATATCATACAGTGTTGAGTAACGTTTTTGTGGCCTTCAAACTTAAGGCAGTGATTATTTAGTTAACTTTACTTGCAGGATTCAGCTCCTGAATGGAAGCTTTGAAAAAATACGACTATGCAACCTAAAACCATATACCATGTAACTTAAAACTTTTGTCCTAACAAGAGAATATTCTTTGTTTGGTGTCCTTATCCTGTAATGTTATCAGGAAATGAAGAATTCATACCTTGTCTTTCTGTTTGAAGTCCAAGACCTAGCTCCAATAGGTTGCAGAAGAAGCTTGTCTGTGTCTGACATCCTTGCTTTTAGCACCGTAGTTGCTCCTAGTTTTTAATATACCTGAGCTGGAGAAACACAATGCAGATGTTACCTTGACTAATGTATGTTGGGAAACCTCAGGAACCTCAGAAGTAGCTCCACTTCTACTGGCATTGTACAGTTCTTCAAGCATCTCACTTGTATAGAAGCCCATACTGGCTCATTCTTTGAAACAGGAGATCTAAAAGTGTCAGCTCTACTGTGGTCACTTGATGGTGGTGTTTAACCCTTTAAAATCTTACTCATCAAAGACTGACTTCTGGCTTGACTCATATGTCCCTGTAACTTGAAATACTGCCAAAAGAATGGTCACTTTTTGGTGAAGAAAACAAAGGTTCTGAGCCACCCTGTCACTTGGGCATTAGCACTTCCACTCAACATCCTGCTTCTGAATTTTCCCTTCAAAGGAAAGTACGAAGAAATATGCTGTTCTAAGAAGGAAAAGTGAATTGCAAAGATAGGAAAATTCCCAAAGGCTTGAGTTTTAAGTCTGATGTAAACTTTCTGCAGTGGTTGTCTGCTGCTTCTGTAACAGCCTTGCTTGGACTGTCCGGGTGTTTTCTGTTACATTGGCGTGAGGTGCCGTTGCTCTGCGTGGCACAGGCATTTGGTTAAAATTGTGCCATTCCACTTTCACTAAATGTGGAACTAAATGAAGAGAACCCTTTCTAGTATCATCTGCATAAAGACTCGGTTTCTCCTCTAGGAAAATCTTCAGTCCATGCTGATGGATCCCGTGCTAGCTCAGCCATGCAACCCTTCCAGAATTCTTACAGCATTGGCTTTAACTGATGTGCCCTTGGAGAAGTTGTATTCTTCGGTGGACTCTTCACATGGGCCATAATTTTTGAAATTGCCACTACCAATTTAATTCTGAACTTCTTTCTGGGAGCTCATTCAGACACAGCCCAAAACCTTTGTGTTTGAACAAGCACAAATTGCATACACACCAGCATCTTGAGGCTTTGAGTTATTATGTGTATCTGTTGTGCCTTCTGCTTGTCTTGGTGTGGTATGTCTAGAAAATCACTGATTTCATCATCGACATATGTTGCCTCTGAACACATGATAGCAGAATATCTTTTCAGTGTTGTAGATCAGTGGTCATCCTGAGATTTGATGCAGTCCCTTGCATTCACTGGTCTACAACTCATCTCCCAGAGTTCTACATATTTTAGTAGATACTGTTTTAAATGCTGGATCATGACTAGAAAAATATATTCTAATGCTGAACACTAGATACTGAGATTACCTGATTTATTTCTTTGTCTCAGAATACTGCATATTTGCAACATTCCATTCAAAACCCAAACTCTTCTGTTTTGAATGTACTTTTGCTTCCATGATATGAACATAAGAACTCATCATACCAGGTCAGACTAAGGATTGTTCTAGCTCTGTATCCTGTCCTCAGGATAGCTGACAGTAGATGCCTAGGGAAGAATATAAAATCAGGGAAATATGTAAAATACTTCCCATATTACTGTTTTGGTTTTCAGCTTCTTACAGCTGAGGTACTTCCTGATCTTGAGGTAGTTTATATACCTAGTGACTTAGAATTTCTCTTCCATTAATTTAATATGTTCAGAAGGAGCCTCATCAAACTTTTAGCATCATCAGTATTCTGCAACAGAAAAAGTTCTGTTACATCAAGAGCCATCACTGTATTTTTGAGACATTTATTGCTATCTTTATCTGATGCCCTTGTGCTCTTTGTTTGGAAGATTCGACAGTAGTCGGTGCTTATCCATATTCTATAAGACTTAATTTTTATAGATCTTGGCCACTTCTAGGTTTGAGACTTCATGTAGCAGTTCTTGTTTTATGGAAGCTGTCAATAACTTTGATAATATTTATTATATTTGTCTGAACTTTTCCTAGTTCTTACTATGATATGAAGATGCAGGGACATAACCTTTTTCCTCTCAGAAGTTTGTTTATACTTTGGGTTTTATTTTTTTGTGACCTGTTGTGCTTATTTTGCCTGCCTGTGGAGGTGTGGCCTTATATGGCATTGCCAGGAAAAAAATCTAGCGAAAAGTATTTGGGTTTTAATATCTACAGTGTGAGCAGACACTAGACAACACACCTCGGGGGTTGTATGCTCTGGGCACCACACTTTGAAAGTTCATAGTCAAGTAGTAACCTGTTTATAAGTAATAAAAATGGGAAAAAAAACCCCAACTGTCTTAATGTTCCACATCTAGAAATAAGTCAAGAAAACCAACTAATGTGAAAAATTTTATTATAATAAGCAAAATAGAGAATTAAATGTTACCCTTAGCAAAATCTGACGATGTACCTGGAACTTCTAAAGGTGTCAACCATGGAGAGGGTAAGAAAATGTTTTGCTTCGCTTAGTCTTTACAAATCCTGACTTACTGCTAAATCCCCAAATACCATATTGAAAGTAAGTCAAGATACTGAAAGTGGGCTTAATCTTTTTAAGAGGAAGGCTAAAGGCAAAACATCTTAAACACCTTGAAATTATTACTGTGCTCAAACTTTTAAAGTTCTCATTGTTTTGAAATACTTTGTGCTTATTTTTTTTAAAACTTCTCTTTTCAGGCGTAATATTATTGAAGCTGTGTATAGCAGGCTGAATCCACACAGAGAGAATGAGGGGGTAAGTTTCCATTTTAATTGCTACACTTCTTTGTTAATAAGAACATCAAAGTAGTGGCATACATTAAGCAAAGGTGCACATCACTGCCAATAAAGTATTGTAAATACAAAAGATGTATTGTAGCATACAGTTTATTTTGACCTTGTTTTGGTTGGATCTGATATAAAACTTAATCCTCAAAAAGACAGCAAACTGCCACCCAATTCTGAAAGACTTTTTAAACATTTGACTACTGCTTTTTCTGTTAAACCTTGTGAGGCAACAATGCAGAGTTTTTCTAAATTATACTTTATTATTGTCAAAAATTATGGTCAGCATTTTCATTACATAACTAGCTATTATGTCTACTGGCCAGAAATCTATTAGAAGACAAACACACTTCCTATTCTGAAGCGTGGAAGACCTTGGTACACTGAATATAAAAGATAATGAGACTAATATTGACTACTTTTTTAGAGTGTACACTAAATACCCCATGTGCAATGGTCTAAGGAAAGTGTAAAGTGATTTTGGTTTACTGCAGTTCTGATTTGTAAAATGGCTTATATTCTTCTGCCCAGTTCCTAAAAGCTGGATTTTAAATACTGTGTTGAAATATGGTTTACTGTAACTTTAAACCTGATTATTATGTTCTTCTTAATTTTAGTATAAAGAGTAATAACTGATATTCATAGCAGTTGCAGTTAAATTTGTTTTAAAAAAAATCCTTGTAAAACTGAAGAACTGATAAACACCACTGCTTGTTCACACATTGTCATTTCTGGTACAGTTTGTGAACTAATTAGTGAAGTTACTGTTCATCTAGTAAATCCTTTGACATATTTTTTCTCTTCTGAGATGAGTACAAGATCCTCAGTCAGGTAGTCATTACAGTGAGTGGTGTTAGGAAGATGTCAACTTCTATTTTAAATACTTTGAAATGATCAGTTGTGTTCCCTGAGATTGTGAATATGCAGTCTCACCACGATTATTATTGTGTTTTTCTCACTGTCATCTTTTCTTTTCTTGGCTGCCTATATTTGGTTTATTCTCCAAGGTAGAAAGCTTGTGTAGGTGGAAGGGATTACTATTCTGTTAGAGCACAAATAGAGAGAAATACCTAACTTCTTTATTGTTTAGAATTTGTTCCTCATTTTAGTTAAAAAATGATAGAGTATACATTTTTCATTTAACTTTCAATAAATTGTGCCAACAGTACCTCAAAACAAGCTAGACAAAATTTTCCTTTTTCAACTGCTGTAGTCCTTCAGGAAACTCTGCACCTCTATCAACCTGCTAGTACTTTTCAGATTTAGCCATAATTTCATTCCCGCTTTTAGGGTAAAACTGTTAGTGAAAGTCGTTTATTTGAAGATTGTGGCACAGGTTTTATAAGTTGGTTGGGTTTGGTTTGTTTTTTTTTTTTCTTTAATAAAAAAACAAACCCACCCAACTTTGTTTAGTGGTAACTTCCTAGAAATAGCATATGCCATATTTGCTTTTATTATGCATCTTTTCTAAGTCCCTATTGGGTTTTCAACAGCTATGCAAGCTTGCTGAAAGTCCTAATATGTAGTACAGCATCCTTTTGTGTATTGACTACTTCCAGGAAATTTTTATACATCATCCGTTATAATTTAATAAAATAAGGTAACTGAACTAAATATGTAAGTTACTCATAAAAGAATATAGCTTTACCCCTTATTACCATTAATAGTTTTGACCTTTATTGCCATTAGAATCCCTGGATAGTTGTTTTGAGTCCTTTTAATTTGGCAGCTTTAATATGAAGTGTGAGCAGTACATTCCAGTCTAGTTTGTACGCTTTACCTTATGTTGGTATTTAGTGCAAATATCAATAATTACGTGTTTTAAATACACTGGATTAAATTTTAGTTTGATCTTGTGGTAAGATGTCATTTTCCAGTCATTACCTTTTCTTCTTTTCATCCTGAGTGATTCTGACCCAGAGCAGTTTGAGAAGAGAACGTGCCAATAGGTGAAGGATGCAATTCCTCTTTGCACTTTCCCAGCAAGTAGGAATTTTTATCTTACTGTCCCTGAGTTGAATTAATTTAGTGGTCCTTGTCTCTGAGGTGATGAAAACATGACTTCCTTGCTAGTCTTGCTCAGTTCCAGGTATATATGTCTTTTATATACTAAGATTTTAGTCTTTTGAACAGAATACTTTAGTGCACAGGTGGGTAAAAGGGAAGGAAGCTTTTTGCTTACTCAGCATCAGACTCTTCGTGTCTACACACTGTCACATTTAAATGGGAAGCAAAGGTAGGAAGAAAACATGCAGTACATCCCAATGATGACCTACCTTGACAAAATAATAATGTAATTAATTTCTAAAATACTAATGCATTTGAGTAAAAGTTTAAAAAAAAAAAAAAACCACAATAAAATGGACCCCACAAAACCAACAACCCAGACAAAGCAAATTAACTTTTGCAATTGAGAATGTGACTTCCTTCTACAGACTACACTTTTTAGTGTTAAACAGTTTAAACTAGTTACCCTGCATTACTGTGAACTGGATCATAATAGCTTTGCAAATAAGTTTTTAGAAAATATATTAATCAAAATGAAGGTGGTATCTTTGTCTAGATAAGCTTTGCTTTTACTCAGTACTGTTAAGATTTCAATTAGTATCGTGCTTAGAATTTTTTTCTGTTACACAAGCTAGTGATTGTAGAGTAGCTTCTTTCAATTCTTCACATGTGCATTTTCTGAGAATCTTTAACATATAGCCTAAATAAGGAGATGTCATGTGGAGTGAGAGAATCCTTACTACAGCAGTATTCAGAGATCACTAGCCTGTCTTCAGGGTATAGCAATCATAAGCTTTTTTTGGTTTAGACATCTCAGCAGAGTACAAGTATTTCATAAATCCAGGGCTGGAGAGAGCCCTGCATTGGGCTCACAAGGAGCAACTTCGCCAGTGTTGCAGCAGAGGGACTCTGCTATCAACGTGGTGGCTTGTGCCCTTGCAAGGGAAATCATAGAAATCTGTTACGTATTGGGGCTTGCTGCTTTCAGATCTTTAAAGGGAATTTAAAAGAACTTCTTAGCTAAGTAACTGTTACAACTGTAATGTTACAATACCACCGAGTCATCCTAGTTAACATGTTTAAAAGTATTACTCCTTCTCTAATGGCTCTATTTCTTCAACAATTTTTTTTAATGTGATCCTAAGACTAGGAGGCTACTATCAAATTAGACTACTTAGGAGTGTATGTATCCTTAAACACAAGGAATGATGTTAAAATTTCAGTGGCTGTGTTAATAATTACAGTGGCATTTGTTTAAACCTGTGTTTGAGTATCTTGTTTGAAACCAATCATGTTTCTCTCTGCTGCAAACTCAAATTGTATGTCATTAAGGGCTGCTACAGGTAATTTAAAAAATGTAACTGGACAAAATTCTTGCACCCTTAAGCTTTGAAAATCTTGTCTCTAATATGTAGTAGCCCTTTTATATACAAAATTTAACAGAGCAGAACTTGCATAAAAATTGTCAGTGCTCATGTTAAATATAGCTAGCAAAAATGTATTCTTGTTTTTGTGGTCAGGAGCACTAAGTTGAATTAGAACATGAAGGAAGACAAATAATAACTTGCACAGTAATCATAGTTTGCAGGGGCCTGTTCTAGCCACACATCATTAGAGAGAAATCAGTGTTACGGTGTAAATATATAGTGTATAGTATATAAAAGAGGCAGTTTCTGTCCTACTGTTGTCTGTGAAGCTGCTTGTCTACTTGCACTGAGGGAGATGAGGGAAGCACAAAGTAGCCCAGCATCAAACAGGGTGCAAAGCAAAGCAGGATGTGAGTTTGAGTATCAAAGACTAACAGTGCTGCTACTTTGATGCCTACTAGCATGCAAGTTGGTTAGGAGTCTCAGGGCTGCTATTTTATTGCTTATTGCTTTTCCTCTTCAGTGTTGCATGGGAGCAAAAGTATTCACTTCAGTTTGCCAAAGAATTTTTAAAGATCTGAATATTGTGAAATGTGGAGATTCAGGGAGTATGTTTACTAATATCAAACTCGGAGCAAAACTGATGGTCTGGATAAACTATGGAATGATTTTTCTCTGTACTTTTAAAAAAACTGGAATTCTGCAGTTATGCTGCCTTGTTTAATATTAGCTAGATAGATACATAAATAGTTTGGGGGTGGTTTTTTGTCAAAACTTAAGAACTAGGAAATGTCTGTAGCCTCATCTTGATGCCCTGAGTTTTCACTGACTTTGTGTTCATGAGACATTAAAGCAGTCCCACTTCATACACTGAAACTACCTCCTTTAACTTGCTTCTCTTCACTGAGCTCGTGAAGAGCTATCTGAATATGAAAATACTAGTACTTGGGAGTCAAAGCATCTCAAACCAAGATCTGCAAACCACAGTGGAAGCATCTCTCTATGCAACAAATTAAGCTTAGAGAGATAGCATTATATGTAATAACATTCATTTTTGTGGTAAAATTGTCCCTTTTTTAATATAGACTGTGCTAATCAGTCTTGAGGCTTCTATTCCAGGAACATTACTGCATCCAAAATCCTACTGAACCGAGGATGTTGTCCTGATGCTGCTATTAAGCTTGTAAATGAGTAACTGCAGTACTTGTAGTTTATTAAGCTTTCGGACTAGATGACAATAAAATGAGGTCAGCATCCAGACAGCTTCCAGAGATACAGTTCCATTTGTCTAGCTTGATAACTTGCTAGATATTAATCATTTAAAATATACTATTCGCTTAAAGCAACTTTACTACTTTAGCACTTAAAAATTAAATATGTAGTATTTACACAGAGCAGTGTAAGAGATGTGCGAGTCTATTGCAAAAAATACCCAAAAAACCCCACCCAGCTCTTTTTCAACTGAAAGCTTGTAGTTAAATAGGTGGTTTGGAGAGGAGACCTCCATTCCTTAATCTGTGCTTGTTACTTGGGTTTTGTGCTGTAGGCTGTTAGATTTTACTTTAAATAGCTGCTCTACCAGTTAATTTTTCTGGCCAATACACAGATCTGCCAAAAATGACATCTTGCACTGTTCAAACACCACCCTGCCTGGTGCTGATAGGTAGCTGCGTGTTTCTTTCACGGCAGCATCATGCACACAAAGACCAGTCTTTAATGTAGAGGGATTGTTTTATAAAACACTTCGAATATGTATTTTGATGTGATACTTCAACTAAACTGCTAGCAGTAGTTATCTATACTTTTTAGTAAGGTTTTCACAGAACTGCGTTGCTATTGGCTGTGCAGAAATTCACAATTAAAAATATTGACCTGATGGCTAAAGAAGCTTAAATTTTTGTAATTTTTCACTGACAACTGACCACAGTTGTGGGGAATACCAGCTCTAATCATTGAAAGACAATTTGAACCAACATGGAATTATTTGGAAGGAGGTACCATGTTGACACGATCTAGCTCAAAATAAATCAAAATGATTGAAAATACTGTTGTAATAGGTATTGTTTCTTAAATTATTATGTTGTATAAAACAAACATGGATGATATTATTCTAAGGTGCGTGTCACTAATAAGATGTTTTAGATTCAAATAGAGCAAAGTTAATGTTAAATTGTCAGGGGTTTGTTTTGTTTGTTTTTAATGTCGTTGGAAAATATCCTAGTTTAACTACTGATTTTTTTGGGGTCTTGAATCTTAAAAAAAGGACCCTGGCGAAGCTGAGGAAAGTGGAACACAGGGAAAATTGGTGGAAGCGCTCAGGCAAATGAGAATTAATCATAGGGGGAACTACCGCCACCTCCTGGAAGAGATGCTGACTAGTTACAGGCTAGCTAAGGTGCAGGGAGAAGAGCGCGCTGCTGAATCTGCTGGAGCGTCTACTTCAGATGGACCCAGTGACCCCCTGCCAGACACCCACACAGAATCTGGGAATCGCCTTGCTGAAGTACAGAGCTCAGACGAAGATTCAGGGATGAGTGAGCTGAGTGATAAACAGACGTAATGTTTTACGTAGCGGATTTAACACTTCGCTTCACTTGGCAAATTTTCCTTTGTTTATATCTGAACATTTGTCACATCTATCTTCGAAATCTGTTTTTACTTTTAGTTATTTGTACAGATTGTTTATACAAAGCTTTCTTTTCCTTAGAAGTTCCACTACCATGGTACATTATAGTATTTGCATCTTATGTTTTGGAGCAAGCAGTTAACTTCCTATTTGAGATTTTTTTTAAAATCCTGTGACACCAACAGTAGGAATCTAACATATTAATGCACAAATAAATTTCTTTTAAGTACATTCTTAAATAATACTTTGATGGTATATGTTCGCTATTTGTAAAGTTAGTCACATTTTAATTGTATCTTTTGTGCAAATTAATTTAATTATACAAATTCTTCAGTCTTTTTTTTTCCCTAGCATCACATACTGCATGTTTGTATTTGAATTGTTTATAGTTTATATTATAACTAAATTACAAAAGCTGTTATATTTTAGGTTGTCACTCTTCATGAAATGTTTGATTTTTTCCAATTTAAATTGTACCCACTGTTCATCATAACTACCTGTTTTCTAGATGACTGTATTATTCCCGGATATAGCATAACATATATCCAGAAATGAAAATGTACTTAGACTTAGTACCTAGTGTCAAGTTCTAAGAATTTGTGTTTAAGAGAAAATAAAGAATATGGTGTGGAATAATATCTGTATGCATATTGACTCCTTTAAGCAAGTAATAAACTTCGAAATGTTATCATTCTGACATGACTTGAAACTTTTCATAGTTTCAAATATTAACTCATTATGTTCATTAGATTCTACAAGTATTTGAGTAATTTTGGGTTTGGCATATTCATCATATTCCTCTATTTGGGCAACATTTCTCAGGTTCTAGTTAAACATCAGCCATATAAAATGAATAAGCTGGCTATTCTGCTTAAGTTTACCTTCTACCAAATCTTCTCCATGGCTTTTGGTGGTCAACACATGTATGTATGTGCATTTGCGTAGATGAGTGATAGTACTGGGAATTTACAGTGGTGGTAGCTAATCTGCTAGTAAGTTAAATCTGGAATTCTTGTGTCAGTGGTCAGTTCATAATACAACACTTGCACAAAAATATCATTGTTCAAAATAGGTACAGATTTCACTGCCTTAAAGAAAAAGAACCTGTGGGAATTTCTTGTGGATCAGGAATACCTGAAGAGTTGAGTTTCTTAGTATTTTATAGATTTAAAAAAAAAAAAATATTGTTAGCTATGTTTTAGTACATTTTAGATAATACTTGTTTTTAAGTCTTCATGCTATAATAGCTTTATTGGGTTCATGTTTTATAAAAGTAAATTCCCTCATGAAGTTGAGGAACAGAACGTTTTGTGTGTGGAAGTGGGCAGGTATGAAAAAAAAAAAAAGGAACATATCATCTGTCTTTACACTAGTATTCTACTTAATTATGCCACTTAAATCCAAAGTGCAACAAAATGTTTTGATTTATGTGGGTGAGCAGTAATATTTCTCTTCTTCTTTCCCTGTAGGGTGCTGGAGATCTAGAAGATCCGTGGTAGCCTTACAAATCTACTAAAATGCTTTTGATTCTGAAGGGGGGAAAAAACTTTTAAATCTGTTTTCTTCAATACAAGGGAAAAATTCTGGTGGATTTCCAACATTTTGTGAAATGGGCAGAAAGATATTAGAATTTTCCATCATTTGTTCATTTTTGTGTTTTCTGATCTTGCCACTCTTAGCATTGCCTGTACTACAGTATTTTTACCAGCCTCAGGCATACTGATTACATCCGTAATGAACTTTGGCCCTAAAAAGGAAGGAAGGAAGGAATGATTCTCTCAGCAGATCAATGTATGTACCTGAGGTGCATGGGATTGTAGGTGTACTCTGAAGATACACTATGGCTAAATGAAACGTGCAACACACAAGCATGGGAAAGTACAAGTAATTGTTTGAGACGTTACTTACTTCACTTTACTGAATTGGAAGGCTTTGCAGCTCTGTGGCTTGGAAGTAATTTAAATTGGGCAATATGCTATCAGATGTGTATTTTTTTTTTTTTTTAATTTTCCAGTTTTACCTGTATTACCAGACCGTTAGGTTTCCCTGCGGTGTCCAAATTGTGATATGTTGCCTACTGCTTGCTTGAAGATAAGTGTATTTGGCAATAATATATGAAGATTCTAGGCATCTAAAAACAGTAAGAATTTTACGCATGTGTACAACACACCCTTAAACTCTTGCTAGAGAAAATCTTTTAAAACCAAACTGATGAATTTATAGTTAGTAGTGACTTGCTTTGACATCTCTCACAGCTGCAGGTTTTTTAAAAAAATGCTGAAAATTTGCCTTTATTATAATGTAAATTGTGATTATTTTTTTGTTCTATATGTGGTTTTCTATAGTTTTTGATTTTTTTTCAGCTTAAGATACAGACAGAAGTCTTGTGTAATATGGGTATAATTTTTAATTGTTTGCATTATTTTCAAAGTTCAAATTATCACTTTGAGATTACTATAAATACACTTAAAATTATCTATTTTAAATTAAGAAAATATTAGAGATATTTTCATGGGTTCAATGACCTTTCATTTTATAAGCAATGGGCATGGTACAGAGTGGCTGTCATGTAAGGTACTTGAAGATTCTTAGTTTAATTCTATTTTTGCAATAACCTTGACTTTTTTTCTGACTTCTTTGAGTTGTGCATGTAATGAGTCCAGTAAATGCCGAAAATGGGGAAGAGTAAAGTATTTATCTAAAATAAAAGCTATTGGGGAGGGGAAACAATGAATGTATCCATCTGTACATGATTTACATGCTGTGGATGCCTTGTAAACATTTTCCTATTTGTTTAAACTGTGTTTCAGCGAGGATGTAATTGCCCTTGTGTGTAGTTTTAAGCTAATGACAGTCATCAACTGGTTTTGTGTGAAATGGAATTCATGGTATTTTTCTGTAACTTT